GACAACCAAAATCTTAATTATAGTAAAAAGACCAATTATTTAATTCCTTATTTAAGTAAATTCCCAAGGCACGTACACTTTTTATTCTAGAAACAACATTGTATTAACATGTTGTTACACAATAACGCAAAGGGATAGTGTGAGATTCAAGCAATTTCATTTTTTTACTATTTACCTAGAGTCAGATGAACTTGTGGATAAAAAATTTATGTCTCTGCGTGCAGTATACATGAAGTAAGAGGTACTTTTGCGAGCCAATGCTAACTTCCTTCATACTGCATGCAGAGACATAAAAATTCATCTGACTCTGAGTACGTTGAAAAACAGAGTAATTGCCAGAATCTCTCACTACACTGTAAGACCTTTCTGTAATTTCAACAATAAAACACTGTAGAATGTACAGTAAAATACTGTAAATCTGTTTTACAGCATCAATGCTGTAGATTGCACTATATTATGGGTAAAATGCTGGAAAAAATACTGTTATTAACTGTAATTGGAAGCCTCCTGTAAAAATTACTCTAACATACTGTATTTCTTTATTGTAATAGCTTATGCCTACTGTAGAGATACAAAGATCCGTTTCAGGCGCCAACCTCATGCTGTCCGGTGAGCCACATGAATATCAGACTATTTTATGAAATATATTTTTGAAGCTTCTGTGAAGTGGAAGAAAATGTTCAGCAGCTGCTGGGTAGGTACTGTACCTTGACTTATTCATAAGTATCTTTATTGCTAGCCAACGTGGAATTACTGCATGTTTTCCTAGCTAACTTAGCTAGCTAGTTAGCTAGCTCAGGTTGACACAAGCCATTTCAGTCTGCTTTAAATTGCTTTGTAAATATCTTGCTGTGTGAGCTAGAAAACAATCTCCCAGATAATAATTGTTGTGATGATAGGCTTCGCTGTACCGCAGCTTCTGAGTGCCATAGAGAATAAACTGAGCGCAGATTCCTAACCATTATGTTTTCACCATTACTACAGAGAAAACAGCTTGTTTCTAGCAATTAAAAAGATATGACCATTGGATATGACCCATATTACTGGCGCAACGTTTCTTTCCCCCGGATGAACAGGCCGCATTTTACACAAACCATGTCGAGGGCCGTTAAACTACTCGCGAGCCTCAGCCACTAAAGCCAATGAGAATGACCAGTGCACCGGTGTTGTATCGAGGTGCCTGCTTCCACTGGGCAGCTCTATCACAGTTTCGTTACGCTAGTAACGTGGCCAATTAAAAAATATATTTTTTATATTTCAAGTAGGATAGCAGCCCACACAAGTAATAACGAATATTGGTAGCCATCTAGATGTCACCGAGATACAGTCTACTCAATGGGAAGAGCATAAATGGCTGACAAAAAAAGAAGAAACCCGCACACTGCTCTTGATAGTATCACTGCTCTTTAATAAGCCTTACGTATCGGCCTCAAGGCCTTCGTCAGAGCTTTTGTGAGAGCATGAAAGGCAACACCGGGACCGTGTCCTCCTTAGCTGTCACAACCCTGTGGCATGTCCGTGTCCGTATAACCTCGCAACAACATTGTTCCATAATGTTACAGTATTAGCTAAACCTGTTCACTTTACATTTACATTTCAGTCATTTAGCAGACGCTCTTATCCAGAGCGACTTACAGTTAGTGAGTGCATTCATTATTTTATTTTTGTTTGCATACTGGCCCCCCGTGGGAATCGAACCCACAACCCTGGCGTTGCAAACACCATGCTCTATCAACTGCGCTATATCCCTGCCGGCCATTCCCTCCCCTACCCTGGACGACACTGGGCCAATTGTGCGCCGCCCCATGAGTCTCCCGGTCGCGGCCGGCTACGACAGAGCCTGGATTCTAACCAGGATCTCTAGTGGCACAGCTAGCACTGCGATGCAGTGCCTTAGACCACTGCGCCACTCGGGAGGCCACTACTTTACCAGTAGTATGCAAACATTAGTTGGCACAGAAAGAAAGGAAAATGTGGTATTGTGTTGGCTATAGCAATGTTTTATTAGTTAGCTAGGGTTTGAGGTACCTCAATTGATTTCATAAACTATATTGGATACATGGCTGTACAGGTTCGAATCAACCCAAGATGATGAATCCTGAAGATCGGACAAAGTGACAAGGTGGCCCAGAGGAAGCCAGCTGTTTTCAACCCCTACATTGCCCCATTCTTCCAAGAGCTCACTGAGTTTGATTAAAGACCTCTAGTGAGGTAAGTACAGTACACACACGCACACACACACAAACACACACACACCAGTGGAGGCTTTTGAAGGGAGGACGGCTCATAATAATGGCTGGAACAGAGCGAATGGAATGGCATCAAACACATGGAAATCATGTGTTTGGTGTATTTGATACCATTCCACTGATTCCGCTCCAGCCACTACCATGAGCCAGTCATCCACAATTAACGTGCCACCAACCTCCTGACACACACACACACACACACACACACACGACACCAGCTTGATATATCCCTTGTCACCTATCTTTTGTACCCACAGAGTAACAGCCCTGGTGCTCTCTGTCTCTCATTCTATTCTTTATTTTTCTATGCTTGTCCTAGGGGTGAGAAGAGCTGACAAATCAGAACTGAGGAGGATTGTTACGGAGCCCCATGAGGAACACCTGATGCTGCGCCGAGTTCTCTCTCCTGGATGCTCTCCCGCCCAAACTGTCCCGTTGTGTGTTTCACCGCCTCTGAACCCCCTTACCCCGAATAGTTGCCCTGATGACCATGGATCTAAGATTGTACCCAATCCCAATTTTAACTCCATCTCCCTCTCTTTCTTTTGTCTCTCTTTCTCCCCCACACCCCACACACACACAGGCCCACAATATAGTTTTTAATTAGTGTTGTAATGAGGATCTTATTTGGTTACATATGTGTTAACAGTTCTTACTTCTATTGTCAATTCTGTTGTTGATTTGTTGTTAATCTTCTTAACAGTTACCAATTTTAATAAATTTATTTTATGTACAAATGTATTATTTTTCTTACATTTAGATTTCAGGGATAATTTCACTGTACATTTACAGCATTATACTGGCACCAGAGTTGCAAACTTAAACCTGTAATTTTGCTTTACAGCAAAGATGTATGTTACAGTACTATTTTCCTTACTGTAAAACATTATATCATTCCTGCTGTAAATTTACAGAAGGAAAATAGTTAAACACATTATTTTTCTAATCCACTGTAGATGCTGAAATATAGCTTGCTGACATAAACAATTGCCAACTTGACATTGACACATTTATATTTTATGTATTATTCAGAATATATCTGATTAAAGGCATACTCAGCGATATGACGTAGATGCAGAAAGTAAACAGCATAGTGGGTAAATTTCCGCAACAACTAAGAGCGTTGAAGCGCAAAGCTCAACTTCTCCGCTCTTTTGGTCCCATGGCTACCATGCTGTAATAGCGTGAAGCGAACCCATGCACCTGCGCAGATACTGTGTGTGACTGTGTGAGAGCGAAGTGTTGCATCTCGCTCATCTCAATATCTGTGGTGCTGCTTGTGGCAACATCATTTCGCTGAGTCTACCTTTAAATACACTGGATTACGTATGATTAATGTGGCAAATCAATCAACTCTCAATAATCTCATAAAAATATAGGACTGGGGATTATATTTTAAGTAGGCCTATCGGTATGTGTGGTGAATTGATGATAGCCATGGGGATGGGAAAGAGGCTTATAAGGCAGTGTCTTTGAGCTATCTGTTACCTTCTCCTAGTTTTGCCTCACTTTCTGTCTGACCCCCTATTCAGGAACTCCTGGATTAGTTGAGGCCTTATACCTACTCTTAGAATGTTTGCTGAAGTCATTTAGGTGGTTTGATGGACGACAATCTCTGATTAAGAATAACATTAATATTAACGCTAACAAAGCTAATTTAGCTTAATAGGTCAGTAAATGCTATTCCCCAGATAAAAACATGCATAATCAGCATTCTACTATATCCCTGGTCAAGAGCAGTTCTTTCCATTACTGTTTATTGTAACTCACGGCTACGGTGCTTTCCTAGTCTGTACACACCTCCTCAATCACACTGGCACTATTTGCGGCTCTTTCAATACATCTTCTTTGATGATAGCCCCTTGTCTTGCACAACTGTTCCCCTGTTGTTCCACTATGAATAACCCCCTGCATAGTAAACTGCCTGCCTGTCCACATTAAAATGAAAACCATCATTCATTAACTGCATCCTGCTGGCTGCCTTGTAATCTGATTACACTGCCCAGGGGGGTTCTCAGCTGTTGACGTCATTCACTCCAGGCCATTGCTGGCTCATTGAAAACCAACAGCGGTGACTGATTGACTAAATAATTGTATTTCAATTCTTTATGACCCTTGCTCCATTACTACCCACCCCTGTTCTGCTCGAGTTCTGTCATCGCCATCCTATTGCTCTGTACTGTTCAGTATATCAATGTACTTCTGATCATGGCCTCGTATGTTGCTGTTGTTGTCTATTCACTGAAGTGATAGCATTTCCCAAGACTTAAAAAAAGTATTTCCTGTAAAGTTTTTAAGTGTCAATGACATTTATGACTTATCGCCTTTGTCTTTTCCTTCCAGATGAGAACACCATTGAACATCACAGATGGATAGAAGCCGGCTATAAAGGGATAATTTTGGCTGCCGAACACAAGAGGCACGCTGTGCCAAGAGGGATCACCTGGAGGCAGAACCCTCTTCCCTGAACAGTGGAAAAGGACACGTCAACACCCATTTGTCCTGTTATGGAGCCAGTCTCCGTGGTTTGATACAGTGGCACAGTGATGAACCACTAACGGCTTTGGCTGAGACAAGGTCCTGCGTGTTGGAATACTTCTTGAAGGAATTTACCCTGTTGGACACGGAATTTGGGACTGTTTTGCCATGTGTAAAATCAGATTGCCATCCGCACCAAATGACCTCTACTCGTGGTATACATCACACCAAAAATAAAGCGTGGAAGGACACTCTCCCTTGACAGGAGAGAAGATGGCCAACAACGCCATCCCACCCCTGATGCTTTTGCCTACAGGGCAAATGTGTTGGAGCGGAGTACTTCCAGGTTTCATCCTACCCTCTTTCCCAATTTTTTCTCTACTCTTTTATACTCTCATATCTTCCTCAATGGCTCTTGTTAGTGTGCCGGGATTAGACTATGACTATGGAGCCCAGCCCAAGTTTGTTTGCACCCCGATTCCAGCGGAAGCAGACCCCAGCTGCTTCACACCAGGTGGGGCAGCACACGGACCTGTCCACGACAGACCCAGCAGTAATGGGCATCATGGACCTGCTGCAGGGGCGCCCAATGGTAACGGCAGGAGGTCAATGGGGATAGGAATATCAGATGAGGCCAAATCCACCATCCTGCACCTTCGCGAGAGCCTGGTGCGGCAAAAAGAGACCATCTTAGACCAGCGGGAGACGATCAGGGAACTGACTGCCAAACTGACCCTCTGTGAGGGCTTTGGCCGGGGGATGGGTCATCATGATGACCATCACGACGACCACCATGGACCCCCGCGTCACAACACCCATCACCCGAGCTCGCACCACTCCTACCATGATGCTAACCACCACGGGAACCCACACTACCCACTGAACAATGGGCATCGATCGGACCCACACCACCGAGGGAAGGACAACTCTGGGAGCAAGCATGGGGCCTTCTCCCCTGAGCAGACTAGGAAAACACTACAGACACTCAAGGAGAGGCTGGAGAACTTGCAGGTAAGTGGGAACAACAACAAAGGATGAGTAGGAAAAGGGATAGGAAGCTTATTTGCCTTTGTGTGAATTTAAGTTATCTTATGCGTCACTATGGGGTACTGTTTGTCTCGCTACTGACCTGAAATGAAGCACGACAAAGGGTGTTCCGGCTTTCTCACATGCCGTGAGGATAATCAGTGGCCTACAGCCCAAGCTCCATCCATGTGCATGCGTAGGACGAACTAAGTTGATTAGTTAACTATCCTGACTCTCACCCTAGAGGATATATTGCACTGATCCCATTGGAATTTATGAAGCCTAGGAGAAGGTCCTGTTGAGTGATTGTATGACATATGACCATTGACACTAACAATGAACTGAACACCGTTTTTTTTTTTCCTTCTTAATTTTCCCATGCATTAAGGAAGTTCCTGTATATACAAAATCCAACTTAATTGACCAACATTTTTGGGATTCTGAAAGATTATTTTTTGGTTCTAATTGATTCTGTTTCTCACCATCTGTGTTATCAATTTGCTTAAAGTGATTATAGCACTCTATAATGAATTGTAAGACTTGCTATAAGACTTGCTATAGGCGTATATCCTATACAAGCACTACTAACACCAACACTTCGAAAGTAGAGCCCAACCGATATGTATTTTTTGGGTCCGATAACGATTCTGATTTTTTTGTGTGACAAAACTTACTGATGCCGATTTAGTGTTTTACAGCAGGGAAATCTTCCACACCAAGTTCTCTTAAATTGCCATCCAAAAGATTAATTGTCCAAGAAATTTGCTTCAAATGTTGATTTCTTACATTGTGATAATAATGAAAATGAGAATGGGCGCTAGTGTTCAGATAAGCATGAGATTCACTTTTTTTCCATTCCATTTATTGAATATCGGTCATTAATAGAATTATCGGCCGATATATCGGTAAAAAGCCAATATCGGCCGATAATATAGATGAAACAATATACAGTACCAGTCAAAAGTTTGGACACACCTACTCATTCAAGGGTTTTTCTTTATTTTTACTATTCTCTACATTGTAGAATAATAGTGAAGACATCAAAACTATGAAATAACACATATGGAATCATGTAGTAACCAAAAAAGTGTTAAACAAATCAAATATATTTTATATTTCAGATTCTTCAAATAGCCACCCTTTGCCTTGGTGACAGCTTTGCACACTCTTGCCATTCTCTCAACCAGCTTCACCTGGAATGCTTTTCTAACAGTCTTGAAGGAGTTCCCACATATGCTGAGCACTTGTTGGCTGCTTTTCCCTTCACTCTGCGGTCCGACTCATCCCAAACCATCTCAATTGGGTTGAGGTCGGGTGATTGTGGAGGCCAGGTCTTCTGATGCAGCACTCATTCACTCTCTTTGATGGCATATCGCTGCAGAATGCTGTGGTAGCCATGCTGGTTAAGTGTGCCTTGAATTCTAAATAAATCACTGACAGTGTCACCAGCAAAGCACCCCCACATCATAACACCTCCTCCTCCATGCTTTACGGTGGGAAATACACATGCGGATATCATCCGTTCACCCACACCGCGTCTCACAAAGACACGGTGGTTGGAACCAAAAATCTCCAAATTTGGACTCCAGACCAAAGGACACATTTCCACTGGTCAAATGTCCATTGCTCATGTTTCTTGGCCCAAGAAAGTCTCTTCTTCTTATTGATGTCCTTTAGTAGTGGTTTCTTTGCAGCAATTCAACCATGAAGGCCTGATTCACACAGTCTCCTCTGAACAGTTGATGTTGAGATGTGTCGGTTACTTGAACTCTGTGAAGTATTTCTTTTTGAGCTGCAATTTCTGAGGCCGGTAACTCTAATGAACTTATCCTCTGTAGCAGAGGTAACTCTGGGTCTTACATTCCTGTGGCGGTCCTCATGAGAGCCAGTTTCATCATAGCGCTTGATGGTTTTTGAGACTGCACTTGAAGAAACTTTCAAAGTTCTTGAAATGTTCCGTATTGATGGACCTTCATGTCTTAAAGTAATGATGGACTGTTGTTTCTCTTTGCTTATTTGAGCTGTTCTTGCCATAATATGGACTTGGTCTTTTACCAAATAGGGCTATCTTCTGTATACCCCCCCTACCTTGTCACAACAGAACTGATTGGCTCAAACGCATTAAGAAGGAAATAAATTCCACAAATTAACTTTTAAGAAGGCACACCTGTTAATTGAAATGCATTCCAGGTGACTACCTCATGAAGCTGGTTGAGAGAATGCCAAGAGTGTGCAAAGCTGTCATCAAGGCAAAGGGTGGCTATTTGAAGAATCTGAAATATAAAATATATTTTTATTTGTTAAACACTTTTTTGGTTACTACATGATTCCATATGTGTTATTTCATAGTTTTGATGTCTTCACTATTATTCTACAATGTAAAATTAGTAAAAAATAAAGAAAAACCCTTGAATGAGTAGGTGTGTCCAAACTTTTGACTGGTAGTGTATATCGGTCAGGCTCTAAAAATAAAAGTGTTACCAAAAAACCTTGCTATAAGACATCATAGAGGCCTATAGCCTATACAAGCATTAATAACACTTATTAACACTGGTGGTCCATAGAAAGTGTTACCAAAAATTCTCTGTCTTGAGGGTGTTAAAGACAGTACAGCTGAGATTGGAGTTCCGTCACCTAACAGGATGTCTATGCCACAAACCGATGTCTAAGCATTGCAGGGTGGTAGCCACCTTCAATGCCAATTAGCATCATCCATGGTGACGAGCTAATAATCTGGGTGAGCTGTGGCAATGGGTAAAGCCGGATTTGATCAGAGACACTGACAGAAGTAGATGGAGGGAAGGAAGGAAGTTGACAGGAAGGTAGGGGCCGCCTTTAAATGTCTTTATCCCAACCAAATTATTTTTTATCTGCCCACTTTAAGAGATTAGGGGTAGCACAATATGACCGAAGTAAGCAACCCAGAATGGGCTAAAGTAGAAGAGGTGTCTTTAAAACAAAACATGAATTTGAGCATCCTTGAAAAAATACGTTTTTCAGCTCTTTAAAAGTCCTATTATGGAAATAAATTCCAACTGATATTTTAGTTTGCTCCACAAAGTTTTAATAACCAAGCACATGGACTAATAAGGTACGCAAACATTTCCTATAATAACTATGAATAATTTTCTCTTTCTCCAGGCCAGGAATTCCTCCAGCTCCTACTCAAGCTCACTGAGAGACCTCCTGCAACGCAAAATCAATGCACTTGAGAAGCAGCTCAACAATCACTACGGTGGGCATCATGATCATGATCACCATGATGACCACCACGATGACCACCATGACGACCACCACGATGACCATCATGACGACCACCACGATGACCACCACGATGACCACCATGGACCCGGTCACCACGACGACCACCATGATGATCGACACGATGACCACCATGTACCCAGTCACCACGACGATCACCGTGATGACCACCACGACACCCACACCCCCACCCCCACCCGCCACAACAACCGCCACAACAACCGTCAAAACAGTCACCATGACGAACATCACTATGACCGACACTATGACCGCCATTATGATCGTAGCCATGGCCGCCATGACACCCACCATAACGACCACAATGACAATCACCATGATGACCATCATGACGACCGTAATGGCGAACACCATGACGACCATCATGATGATCACCATGACGACCACCACGATCTTCACGATGACCACCATGATGACCACCATGGAAATGGTCACCATGATGATGGTCACCATGGCAATGACGACCATGGCCATCATCCTCGTCCATCCTATAACAGCAAGCCGCCGGCTCCAAGACCTCTTGGCCGTGGACACAACAAGCTTGAAACTGTGCTCAGCCACCTTAACCACAGGAACACTGACCCTGGTATTGAAACTCTGATAATAACCCACTTTGATACTGTATACTATTTTCCAAGTTATATCATGCATTCCCAGTTGAATTTGCAGGTACAGATATTCAGTATCAGCTGTTCATTGCTCATATTTTGTTGTTTTGTATCCCAACAGGTACCCGGAAAAAGCCAAAGAGTCCAGATGCTTTCCAGATTGGCTTCCCTATGCGCACTAACTACATGTATGGAAGGATAAAGAGGACCCTACTCAACGAAATCTTCGCCCTCAGCGTCTGCCTCTGGATAAAAGGGGGATCAGGGCCTGGCCTCGGCACGCCCTTCTCCTACTCTGTACCGGGACAGGCCAATGAACTGGTTCTGATCGAATGGGGCAACAACCCCATGGAACTACTGGTCAACGACAAGGTAAGAGCATGATTTATTATTTTGCGTAGTTTCACCTTGTGCCCCTAGTGACCAATTTGCAAAGATATATATTATTTTCCCTCACTTTTTACACACATACACTCTTCTACTATAAGGTTTCCTACTGTGATGTGTCAGACATACAGTGCCTTCAGAAATATTCAGACCCCTTGACTTTTTCCACATTTTGTTACGTTACAGCCTTATTCTAAAATTGTTTAAATAAATACAAATCCTCAGCAATCTACACACAATACCCAATAATAACAAAGCATAAACAGGTTTTTAGAAATGTTAGCAAATGTATAAAAAATAAAAAACAGAAATACCTAATTTACATAAGTATTCAGAAATTGAGCTCAGTTGCATCCTGTTTCCATTGATCATCCTTGAGATGTTTCTACAACTTAATTGGAGTCCACCTGTGGTAAATTCAATTGAATGGACATGATTTGGAAAGGCACACACCTGTCTATATAAAGTCCCACAGTTGACAGTACATGTCAGAGCAAAAACCAAGCCATGAGGTCGAAGGAATTGTCCGTAGAGCTCAGAGACAGGATTGTGTCGAGGCACAGATCTGGGGGTACCAAAACATTTCTGCAGCATTGAAGGTCCCCAAGAACACAGTGGCCTCCATCATTCTTAAATGGAAGAAGTTTGGAACCACCAAGACTCTTCCTAGAGCTGGCCGCCCAGCCAAACTGAGCAGTCGGGGGAGAAGGGCCTTGGTCAAGGAGGTGACCAAGAACCCGATGGTCACTCTGACAGAGCTCTAGAGTTCCTCTGTGGAGATGGGAGAACCTTCCAGAAGGACAACCATCTCTGCAGCACTTCACCAATCAGGCCTTTATGGTAGAGTGGCCAGACGGAAGCCACTCCTCAGTAAAAGGCACATGAAAGCCCGCTTGGAGTTTGCCAAAAGGCACCTAAAGACTCTCAGACCATGAGAAACAAGATTCTCTAGTCTGATGAAACCAAGATTGAACTCTTTTGCCTGAATGCCAAGCGTCACGTCTGGAGGAAACCTGGCACCATCCCTACGGTGAAGCATGGTGGTGGCAGCATCATGCTGTGGGGATGTTTTTCAGTGGCAGGGACTGGGACACTAGTCAGGATCGAGGCAAAGATGAACGGAGCAAAGTACAGAGAGATCCTTGATGAAAACCTGCTCCAGAGTGCTCAGGACCTCAGACTGGGGTGAAGGTTCACCTTCCAACAGGACAACAACCCTAAGCACACAGCCAAGACAATGCAAGAGTGGCTTCGGGACAAGTCTCATAATGTCCTTGAGTGGCCCAGCCAGAGCTCGGACTTGAACCCAATTGAACATCTCTGGAGAGACCTGAAAATAGCTGTGCAGCAACGCTCCCCATCCAACCTGACAGAGCTTGAAAGGATCTGCAGAGAAGAATGGGAGAAACTCTCCAAATACAGGTTTGCCAAGCTTGTAGCGTCATACCCAAGAAGACTCGAGGCTGTAATCGCTGCCAAAGGTGCTTCAACAAAGTACTGAGTAAAGGGTCTGAATACTTATGTAAATGTGATATTTCAGTTTTTTTTTTTTTATAAATTTGCAACAATTGCTAAACCTATCAGTCAGTTGCCCCATTGGCAGCACAAGTGGAAAATCAATCACCTCAAGGCAAGCAAGCTCACACCTCAGTGTCAGGTGACTCCATTCTCATCCAATCAGGCACCAGAATTCAATGTATCTCCTGTCCTCAAGGAGCATGGCAGGAGGCAGTTACAGTTCAGCTGCAGCCTGCTCTCACCCCCTGAGAGACAGTGGCCCTGTCCTCATCTATCATCCTCCCTAATGGCATAAGACCACAGCTTACCTAGCACAGTCATGCGAAGAGGCGTCTAATGACAGGGTGGAGGTGAGGATAAACACATGGTCTGGGCCCATACCTCAGCATGAGGCAGGGTTTCCCGCAGACGAGGGGATCTTTTTTTTATTCTTTTATTATTTAACTAGGCAAGTCAGTTAAGAAAAATTCTTATTTACAATGACAGCTTACCCCAGCCAAACCCGGACAACGTTGGGCCAATTGTGCGCCGCCCTATGGGACTCCCAATCACGGCCGGATTGTGATACAGCCTGGAATCGAACTAGGGTCTGTAGTGACGCCTCTAGCACTGAGATACAATGCCTTAGACCGCTGCGCCACTCGGGAATTTGGTGGTGCAACCTGGGAGATGCCTAGCTATGGCACCCGAAGGATATGTTGTTATGAACTGACACAAAAGAAAGCACACTACTTGAAATGCGATGGCCATTTGTACCTGTTCAAAAAACCTGACAAATCTTTCACGAAATATCATTCAAAAAAATGACAACATGTGTTTAATTTACCTTCTGAAGGTGTAATTTTTCTAAATGCCCAAGACAATGACACTAATACCCTGTTCTGTGACAGTCAATTAACCTGGTAATAATCTCTCTTTCTCCGAACAGGCAGTGACCTTGCCCTTTTTACTCATGGAAATCTTTTGTTTAGACTCTTTGGATTGAGCCAATCAATCAATCAATCAGCCAATCATGCAATTAGTTAATCGAGCCATTGCCTCTATTTCCCTGCACAGGCAGTGACATTGCCCATGGCAATGACGGATGGGAAGTGGCACCATCTGTGTGTGACATGGTCGACACACAATGGGCATTGGGAGGCCTTCCAGGACGGCGTAAAAAGGGGATCTGGAGAGAATCTATCTGCATGGCATCCCATCAAGCCTGGTGGAGTCTTTATTCTGGGCCAGGAACAGGTACAACTATATGTTTCCTTTCTATGAATTTGCATACTCAAAGTTCTGAAGAACATATAAAAGCTGGGATAGGAACCGGAAATTACTTGTCACACTTACAGTGTGTGTTTGCTGATTTTAGGCTTTGTAGAACACAAAAAGCTGTTAATACAATCGTTAAAGCTGATTATCATCTAGTTGTGTCCTGAGAAGACACAGGCTATTGCCAAAAACTAAGCTTGGAAATCAGTGCATTGGTGACTGTGATATGTGGTTGTCTCACTTAGCTTTCTTAAGATGAATGCACTAACTAAGTCGCACTAGACAAGAGCGTCCAGCAGGTCTCATAGACTAGACGTAACATAGTAAATGTAAATCTGAGAGACTGATATTAGTATGATATGTTACATTTGGTATGGTTACATAAGACAGAAGGTTCCTTAAGGCAAAAAACGAAAGTAGGTTGGGTGGGCATATAACGCGAACATTGCGTGTTCAAATCTTATAATGGACAACTTTAGCATTTTAGCGAATTAGCAATTTTGCAACTACTTACATATAACGCAAACGTCTAGCAACCCAAAGGTTGCGTGTTCAAATCTTATAATAGACCATTTTTGCATTTTAGCTAATTAACAATTTTGCAACTACTTACATATAACGCGAACGTCTAGCAACCCAAAGGTTGCGTGTTCAAATCTTATAATGGACAACTTTAGCATTTTAGCTAATTAGCAATTTTGCAACTACTTACTACTTTTTTGCTACTTAGCATGTTAGTTAACCTTCCCCCTAACCCTAACCTTAACATGAGACTAGGTCATGAGATGGTTTAAGTACAAAGGTTGATTGATCTGAACTGCCTAGTTTTAGAACGTTGTTGGCAACTAACCAACCTTGTTGTAAAGGAAAAAAAGGTGGAAAACTCAAAGACTAGACAAATCTGTTTAAATAATTGTGTCTTGTTCGTTAATTGTGGGACAGATAGTACTTGTACATGTTTTGTGGTCCTTTATTCTTAATAATAACGCTGTGCTTTCCTAACAGGACACCCTAGGTGGCCAATTTGACGCCACCCAGTCCTTCGTGGGCGAGATGTCAGACCTCCAGTTGTGGTCCCGCGTTCTCACGCCCAATGAAATCTACAGCCAGGCTTCCTGCGGAGGTCACCTGGCCGGTGACCTCATCTCCTGGACAGAGGCAGTGGTCGAGCTTCACGGTGGGGTCACCAAATACCCCTTCGACCCCTGCCACTAAGCACTATCCCATTCTGCCTCATCAAAATGTCTGATCACCAAGCCCCTGATGTCAGTCAACCAGCTGTCTGGTGTGGCAGCAGGGCTCTGTGTGCTACGCTGCAGAGACATGACAGGCCCTTAGTAACAAACTAGGCTGGCCCTTTGCAACAAGAATGAGCCATCCTGCTATTTTTGCCATCCATTTCCTCTCTGTTCTGCCTTCCTCGCTGGGCCGAGGAACTGGGAGAACTTTAAAAGAGCAAAGGCTGGATTTAACCGAATGGTCATGACTACTGCTGCTCCTGAGATCCAATACAGGTAATAGGATTCCCTGTCTCTAAATGGGTCCATCTATGTATGCCCCGGCCTTAGCAAAGCCCTTTATCAGTCAGGTGTTCAAAGAATCAAAGCATTTTGCTGGGACATATTATGCCGGGATATGGTTCTCAAAATCATAATACTCCAGATGTTATTTGTTCGTCTTTCTGTTTTTGACTGGTGATTAATGACGATACCAGTGATGAAAAGGGAAGCACTGAGGTAGAATGCTCATAAACCAACTGTGGACAGTATGGAATGAGCAAACTAAAGGCACTCAAAACAGAGCCATGCAGATTGCAAGTGTATGAGTTAGAAGACATTGATAAAGATTGGATGATTGGAAGTGATGAATGTGAGGTATTACATTGCATTTTTTGTATATGAAGATGGAGGAGCTCATCTAGGGCTTTTGTTTTTTAGGCTTTTAGCCTGTCCCAATTCTACTTTGCCCACAGAGATTTTAGAGGCCTATTTTCTACTACTGTGTTGTACACACATGCAACTGATCAACATTCCACTGGATTTTTCACAGGAATTTAGCTCTACAAATAGCTGATGGTGCTCTGCTTTTGGTTAAAGGAGTTTGCTTTGTCTATTTGTGAAAACATTGTACACCTATGTGTAAAAAAAAAGAAAAAGGGATGTTTTGTAAGCTGGAATGTCTGTTTTAACACAGCGAAGCTTTTGGGTTTGGTTTCGATTTGTATTTCTATCAGTGTGTCTAAAATGGCTGCCAGGTTTGATGTAACAGCAGAGTTGACATTGTCAAGTCTGACTTGCAGCCTGCATAAATACAGGTTAACTGGCTGTCAAGAGATCTACGGTGATGCTGACATCTCCATGGTAACTTATGGCTTACAGTGGGATTTACCTGTCAAGTAGAGCTCTGATCCAGATCCAGACTATTTCCGTACTGTCAGTAGCATACACATGCTCTCAAATAGGCTACATTCACACATGCACGCACATGCACTCAAAACAGCTTGGAAACAAAAATGTAATGCTATAATGTTCTAAAATGCTTATATTCACTGTCAACTTAATCTGTTGTTTTTTTATTAGTTGGGTCCTGTGTTTTTAATCCATGTAAAATGCTTATACAAATCTGAAAAATATAGCCTATGTCTTGAATATGAACTGTGAAATTACATAAACAAATACAAACCATTTCATTTTTGATAAATATAACTAATTGTACACAACACATCCTTTCCTTATCTATCCTTTCACTGTATATGGCCATCCCTTTTCTGTCTGTAAAGCATACAAATGAGGAATGCATTTTATTTTATTTGTTTACTTACCCCCATTTCACTGTATTAAGTTCGGACTGTCTATCGTCTCATTGTTTCACATGAACACTGATCGTAAAAAAGCACAGATAAAACAATGAGACAGATATTTCACCAGATGTATAAATGTGAAGCATCCGGTTGGTGTTTCCACTCACTACCAAATATGGTGATGAGAGGAAGCCCAGTGGCTGGCATTGGGAGAAGATGGAGCGAGATGGATTTTGGCCGGCATTCTGCAAATTCTTTCCTCAATGAAACATTTGATCTCAATACAGTTTTCAGTTTCCAAAACTAGAATCTGTAACAAACAGAGTGGACAACGTCTTGTAAACTTTACCCTTTGCCAAAGTTTCAAAAAATGGTGTTGTTTAGAAGGAGTGCAAGGGCGAATTGAGTTCTTGCACACACACACTTCACAAAGTAGGCGTTCCCTAATGAAAATATGCAAATACATGCTAGAACGCGCCAATAGGATCTCACTAGCTCGTGCTTGGCTCTGCCCACCTTCTTACTTGTTCTGCCCACTATGATTATTTTGCTCCCATTGAAAATGAAAGGCTCTGGTCTATCTTGGGTTAGTTATAAAAATCTTTGGTAAAAGGGTCATCTGTTGTTGCCATGGTGATAGTACAGAACTTGGCTGGACATAGCCCCTGGTTGCTAATAATCATTACAACCATTACAGTACACAACCATTACAGTATGTTTGTAACTATTTGTTAATGCACCTTTGTGAGAGGACATAGTGGTCTGGATTGTTTGATAAGAGTTTATAATGCCAAGATGAGTATTAAAAACCCCAATGCTCCAATTTATTTTCCTGATAGTGGGCTAAATGTATGTAACGTTTCACAACATTTTGGGTGTATGTTTCTCATTCGTTACATATAAACAATATTATTGTTTAATGAATGCTAATACAACTGGATAATATTCAGATTAAACATAGTATTGAATGCAGTTTCACCATCAGAATCTATGTTGCTTCCATAAAGTTTGTATAATCTCGCCTTTGGTATACATTTTAATCTGTATGTAAAGAAACACTCAATAGATTCGTTATTCTTGTCTGTAAATATTGAACAACCTTTTATTTATTCATTTCTCTGTATTTGGTCAAAAGTCCCTTTCCTGTGTATGTAAGCCAAAATTGTAAGATTAATCGTACAACTTAAACAAGGAATAAATGCACTTACTCTGTTAAATATTATTGATTATTTCATGAATGGATATTTCATGTAATTTCTTTCATTGGTGGTCAGTGTTACCCTACAAAGACTGGTGTTGGTCCAAGCTTTTGCTCCAGTCAAGCAGTAACACTCCTAATTAAAGCATTGAATGAAGACTGTTAATGTTTGTAAGCAAATGTGTTATTGCTTGGATGGAGCAAAAGCTTGCACCCACACCAGCCATCGCAGGGTAAGATTTCCCAACATGGAGCATACTGTGAAGGGCAGCTACTGCTATTTTGCTTACACCTAACCAGTCCCTTTACAGATCTGTAAACACCAAAGGGGTAAAGGATGGGGGCTACATACAAAGGAAGCAGCGGCATGACTCATGATGATTATTCTTCGTTGAGTCCACCTTGTTTGCCACAAGAGGGTGTTAGTTGCCTTTGGAGGGTGTTCTGTATGTTCAGTAGCCTATATCATCATGACGGCTTAAAGACCCAATACAAGTCAAAGTCAGAATGCTGCAGCTTTGTTTTGTATGCTTTAAAGCGGCAATCAGCAGTTGAAACAATAACAACAATTATATATCATATATTATCTACCAGATTAGAAGAACAAAGTATAATACGAAATACATTTGCTTTTGGCAAAGCTTGGGCACAATATAGGCTAGGTTTGTAATAGGCAACAGCAATAGCAATGCTACAGGTCCTAATCTTTTTAAGGATACAGCTGTAGCCTATATTAACTCACAATATTAACTTAGCCTTGGATCTGTGCAGTATGTTGTTTTTGTTGTATAGCACTTTCAAACCCCCAGGAATTTTGTATACCTTGATATTTGCATGTGTTGAGAACAGAGCTGATAAGCGTGCAGGGGGTGCGTGCAGTTGGAAGAATTCAAATCCTGTGGCTGCCGGTCTTAAATGACTGGTGATTGATTATCAGTTGCCAAAACAAGACTCTCACACAGCCTACAAATGGATCCGCTTAAAAGCATAACATAGCACCTAAATCGCATCGGTTGAAACAGATATGATCATGGATTATTGAGGAGAAGGGGATAAGGGGAATGTCTGGCAACACTGTAGGTGTCAAAGCATAGATAAGCACTGCATTTTAAAACAATAGCAGTTGTTATCTAAGCACAGAGGGCATTTGAATAGAAGTCTTGGGGTTGTACATTGCGTTCTGTTATGGCCTACATACTGTATGCTGACATCTTTATTCTGGGTGCCATGTTGAATTGGTCTGACCAAGACAACACTTACAGACTAGGGCCAGGTTTCCCAAAAACATCTTAAGGCTACGTTCATCGTTAGAACCATAGGATCCTAAGATGCTTTTGGGAAACCGGGCCCTGGAGAACCACAGATATTCACCAGAAATGTCACCACAAGCTACATAAAGCTCTTACAAGTTGTCCACAAACACAATAGAATAAGGGTATTTGACCATAATCTAAACTTCTCCGGCCTGACAGGTTTTGCTATCAAATGTACTTTGCATGAAGCTAAGGGTGACATACCGTCTCAACGCTCATTTGTGAGGTGGAACTCAGGAGAGCTGGATCTATTCTCCGTCTCCAGCAGTCTCCTATTGCTCAGGGGGAATGGGACTCATAAGACCAGGGGAGAATTGGGGCGTCTGGACCGGGCCTGCTACATCCTAAAAAGACAGAGGGGTCAACAGGGAGAGGTGATGCCATTATCACAAAATTATAGCACATTTTATCCAAAGAAAAAAGCTCAAGAGCAAGTTCAGATTATTGCATGTTTGATGTCTAAAAAACATAATGCTATACTTTTTAGTGTGCATCATGTTTATACTGACATTACTGTATCAATCAAATTGATTTATAAAGCCCTTTTTACATCAGCAGATGTCACAAAGTGCTATACAGAAACCCAGCCTAAAGCCCCAAACAGCAAGCAATGCAGATGTAGAAGCACGGTGGCTAGAAAAAACTCCCTAGAAAGGCAGGAACCTAGGAAGAAACCTAGAGAGGAAGCAGGCTCTGAGGGGTGGCCAGTCCACTTCTGGCTATGCCGGGTGGAGATTATAAGAGTACATGGCCATTTAAGGCCAGATTTTTCTTCAAGATGTTCAAACATTCATAGATACCAGCAGGGTCAAATAATAATCACAGTGGTTGTAGAGGGTGCAACAGGTCAGTACCTCAGGAGTAAATGTCAGTTGGCTTTTCAAAGCCGAGCATTCAGAGGTCGAGACAGCAGGTGCGGTAGAGAGAGCGATAGAGTCGAAAACAGCAGGTCCGGGACAAGGTAGCACTTCCGGTGAACAGGTCAGGGTTCCCTAACCGCAGGCAGAACAGTTGAAACTGGAGCAGCAGCATGACCAGGTGGACTGGGGACAGCCAGGAGTCATCAGGCCACGTATTCCTGAGGCATGATCCTAGGGCTCAGGTCCTCCGGGAGGGGAGGGAGAGAGAGAGAATTAGAGGGAGCATACTTAAATTCACACAGAACACCAGATAAGACAGGAGAATTTCACCAGATATAACAGACTGACCCTAGCCCCCCGGCACATAGACTATTGCAGCATAGATACTGGAGACTGGAGACTAAGACAGGGGTGGGTCGGGTGCCAACCAGGCAGGATATAACCCCACCCACTTTGCCAAAGCGCAGCCCCCACACCACTAGAGACATATCAACAGACCACCAACTTACTACCCATAGACAAGGCTGAGTATAGCCCACAAAGATTTCCTCCACCGCACAAGCCTGAGGGGGCCCAAATCCTGACAGGAAGATCACGTCTGTGACTCAACCCACTCAAGTGCCGCACCTCTCCTAGGGACGGCATGGAAGAGCACTAGTAAGCCAGTGACTCAGCCCCCGTAATAGGGTCAGAGGCAGAGAATCCCAGTGGAGAGAGGGGAGCCGGCCAGGCAGAGACAGCAAGGGCAGTTCGTCGCTCCAGTGTCTTGACGTTCACCTTCCCACCCCTGGGCCAGACTAAACTCAATCATAGGACCAACTGAAGAGATGAGTCTTCAGTAAAGACTTAAAAGGTTGAGACCGAGTCTGCGTCTCTCACATGGATAGGCAGACCATTCCATAAAAATGTAGCTCTATAGGAGAAAGCCCTGCCTCCAGCTGTTTGCTTAGAAATTCTATGGACAATAAGGAGGCCTGAGTCTTGTGACCGAAGCGTACGTGTAGGTATGTACGGCAGAACCAAATCAGAGAGGTAGGTAGGAGCAAGCCCATGTAATGCTTTGTAGGTTAGCAGTAAAACCTTGAAATCAGCCCTAGCCTTAACAGGAAGCCAATGTAGAGAGGCTAGCACTGGAGTAATATGATCACATTTTGGGGTTCTAGTCAGGATTCTAGCAGCCGTGTTTAGCACTAACTGAAGTTTATTTAGTGCTTTATCCGGGTAGCCGGAGAGTAGAGCAGTCTAATCTAGAAGTGACAAAAGCATGGATTAGCTTTTCTGCATCCTTTTTGGACAAAAAGTTTCTGATTTTTGCAATGTTACGAAGATGGAAAAAAGCTGTCCTTGAAATATTCTTGATATATTTGTCAAAGAGAGCTCAGGGTCCAGAGTAACGCTGAGATACTTCAGTTTTATTTGAGACGACTGTACAACCATCAAGATTAATTGTCAGATCCAACAGCAGATCTTTGTTTCTTGGGACCTAGAACTAGCATCTCTGTTTTGTCTGAGTTTAAAAGTTTTTAAAAATTGCCGCCATCCACTTCCTTATGTATGAAACACAGGCTTCCAGGGTAGGCAATTTTGGGGCTTCACAATGTTTCATTGAAATGTATAGTTGTGGGTCGTCCGCATAGCAGTGAAATTTGACATTGTGTTTCTGAATGACATCACCAAGAGGTAGAATATATAGTGAATACAATAGTGGTCCTAAAACGGAACCTTGAGGAACGCCGAAACTTACAATTGATTTGTCAGGGGACAAACCATCCACAGAGATGAACTGATAATTTACCGACAGATAAGATCTAAACCAGGCAAGAACTTGTCCGTGTAGACCAATTAGGGTTTCTAATCTCTCCAAAAGAGAGAATGTGGTGACAAAAGCAGCACTAAGGTCTAGGAGCACGAGGACAGATGCAGAGCCTTGGTCATTAAAAAGGTAATTTACCACCTTCACGAGTGCAGTCTCAGTGCTATGATGGGGTCTAAAACCAGACTGAAGCATTTTGTATACAGTATTTGTCTTCAGGAAGGCAGTGAGTTGCTGCGCAACAGCTTTTTAAAAAATGTTTGAGAGAAATGGGAGATTCGATATAGGCCGATCGTTTTTTAAATTTTCCGGTTCAAGGTTTGGCTTTTTCAAGAGAGGCTTTATTACTGCCACTTTTAGTGAGTTTGGTACACATCCGGCCATTTATTATGTTCAACATAGGAGGGCCAAGCACAGGAAGTAGCTCTTTCAGTAGTTTAGTTGGAATAGGGTCCAGTATGCAGCTGGAAGGTTTAGAGGCCATGACTATTTTCATGAACGTGTCAAGAGGATACAGGATTAAAAATCTTGAGTGTCTCCATTGATCCTAGGTCCTGGCAGTTCTGTGCAGACTCAGGACAACTGAGCTTTGGAGAAATAGGCAGATTCAAAGTGGAGTCCGTAATTTGCTTTCTAATGATCATGATCTTTTCATCGAAGAAGTTCATGAATTCATCACTGCTGAAGTGAAAGCTATCCTCTCTTGTTGAATGCTTCTTTTTAGTTAGCTTTGCAACAGTATCATAAATACATTTTGCATTGTTCTTATTCTCCTCAATTAGGTTGGAAAAATAGGATGATCGAGCAGCAGTGAGGGCTCTTCGATATTGCACGGTACTGTCTTTCCAAGCTAGTCGGAAGACTTCCAGTTTGGCGGAGCACCATTTCCGTTCCAGTTTTCTGGAAGCTTGCTTCAGGGCTCGGGTATTTTCTGTATACCAGGGAGAAAATGTCTTGTGACAAATGTTTTTTGTTTTTAGGGGTGCGACTGCATCTAGGGTATTACGCAAGGTTACATTAAGATCCTCAGTTAGGTGGTTAACCAATTTTTGTACTCCAACCTCCTTGGTAGGAGTCTGGAAGGGCATCTTTGGGTTGTCCGATAATTTATAGCACGGCTTTTGATGATTCTTTGTTGGGGTCTGAGCAGATTATTTGTTGCGATTGCAAACGTAATAAAATGGTGTTGTTCGATAGCCCAGGATTATGAGGAAAAACATTTAGATCCACAATATTTATTCCACGGGACAAAACTAGATCCAGGGTATGAATGTGGCAATGAGTAGGTCCGGAGACATGTTAGACAAAACCCACTGAATCGATGATGGCTCCGAAAGCCTTTGGAGTGGGTCTGTGGACTTTTCCATGTGAATATTAAAGTCACCAAAAATGTGAATATTATCTGCCATGACATCAAGGTCCGATAGAAATTCAGGGAACTCCGTGAGGAACGCTGTATACGGCCCAGGAGGCCTGTAAACAGTAGCTATAAAAAGTGATTGAGTAGGCTGCATAGATTTCATGACTGGAAGCTCAAAAGGCGAAAACACAGTCATTTCTGAGGGGGGAATTGATTTTGCTGTCATAAATGTTAGCAACACCTCCGCCTTTGCGGGATGCACGGGGGATATGGTCACTAGTGTAACCAGGAGGAGAGGCCTCATTTAACACAGCAAATTCATCAGGCTTGAGCCATGTTTCAGTCAGGCCAATCACATCAAGATTATGCCTTGGAAGTGAGGGATCTAACATTAAGTAACCCTATTTTGAGATGTGAGATATCACAATCTCTTTCAATAATGACAGGAATGGAGGAGATCTTTATTCCGGTGAGATTGCTAAGGTGAACACCGCCATGTTTTGTTTTGCTCAACCTATATCGAGGCACAGACACGGTCTCAATGGGGATAGCTGAGCTGATTACACTGACTGTGCTAGTGGCAGACTCCACTAAGCTGGCAGGCTGGCTAACAGCCTGCTACCTGGCCTGCACCCTATCTCATTGTGGAGCTAGAGGAGTTAGAGCCCTGTCTATGTTCATGTATGTGGCTGAAATATTACCCCCTCTCAGATTGGTGGCATACACAGTACAGACAGTCATCACATTACTTGGCCCTGCTCTGTTTTCTACTGACCATGGCCACACTCCTACAGACCTTCTACTGTGAGTTTCATTAGGTCATCATTTTTAATTAAAACAGATTCAAGGGTCAGAAATAGGAGTTCACTGATTTACAGTGCTATGAAAAAGTATTTGCCCCCTTTCTAATTTTCTCTACTTTTGCATATTTGTGATACTGAATGTTATCAGATTTTCAACCAAAACCTAATATTAGATAAAGGGAACATAAGTGAACAAATAACACAACAATTACATATTTATTTCATTTATTTCATAAACAAAGTTATGCAACACCCAATTCCCCTGTGTGAAAAAGTCATTGCCCCCTTACACTCAATAACTGGTTGTGCCACCTTTAGCTGCAATGACTCCAACCAAATGCTTCCTGTAGTTGTTGATCTGTCTCTCATGTCGCTGTGGAGGAATTTTGGCCCACTCTTCCATGCAGAACTGCTTTGTTATTTGTTCACTTATGTTCCCTTTATCTAATATTAGGTTTTGGTTGAAGATCTGATAACATTCAGTATCACAAATATGCAAAAGTAGAGAAAATTAGAAAGGGGGCAAATACTTTTTCATAGCACTGTACATTGTTATGGAAGGTCAAGACTTGAGGTTTTAACGCTAACTTGACCTTTTCATTATAATTGGCTCTCTATGCTACCTCATCCTCACTTTTTCGTATCCATGGCAATGGGGTCGCGGGGGTCAGACTCAAAGACCTGACTCAGAAGCTGAACACCCTGAACCACTCCTACCTCCTCCTCTTCCGCAAGTACCCAGCACTCAACCTGTACTGTCCCATCACCACAACCAATGGTGCGCACACACATTCAGGTTGCTTTAAGCTGGGACATGGGATGGCCTATTGGAAAAAAATACTCTAATACAATAATCTGTTCAATATATGGGCAGGCAGAGAAAATATAATGATGGATCACCAGGATCAACTTAAAATTCCAAAATGGCTGACAATGACAAGAGTAGTGAAAATTGGGTAGCATCACACTAGCCCTAGGCCTGGCATCAATTACATTTTTGTCATTTAGCAGATGCTCTTATCCAGAGCGACTTACAGTTAATGCATACATGTTTATTTTTACTTTTTTCATACTGGCCCCCGTGGGAATCGAACCAACAACCCTGGCATTGCAAGCGCCATGCTCTACCAACTGAGCTACACGTCCTAATAAGACATTTAGTCATCCTAATAAGAGCATTGCTTTAGCTATTATCAGATCAGTCGATGTAGACATGTAACACCATATATAATCCCCACTTGATGGTTTTAAGAGTATTTTTTATTGATATAATTAGGACATATTTTATTTATACAGGTGATCCTACAGAGATTGAAAAAGCTATTTTACATGGGGGACCTGTTTCACCCCTGTTCACCTTTCCCTTATAACTAACTGAGTAACCTCTGGCGTAACCTTCCACCTGTATCACAGAGCGTGAGTGCAGGCAGTGCCCAGACGGATGGGAGTCTTTTGGGGGAGAGATGCTACTTCTACACCCAGGACACCCAGGACAGACAGGACTGTATCTCCAGCCGGTACCACTGCCTGTCTGTAGGGGGCAACCTTGTCATGGTGAAGAGTGAGGAGGAGCAAGTATGAGGGAGCCATGAACCCCATCAATGAACCCCATCACCCAATGATACCGATATACACTACGAGTCAAAAGTTTGGACACACCTACTCATTCAAGGGTTTTTCTTTATGTTTACTATTTTTTACATTGTAGAATAATAGTGAAGACATCAAAACTATGAAATAACACATATGGAATCATGTAGTAAACAAGAAAGTGTTAAACAAATGAAAATATATGTTATATTTGAGATTCTTCAAATAGCCACCCTTTGCCTTGATGACAGCTTCGCACACTCTTGGCATTCTCTCAACCAGCTTCATGAGGTAGTCACCTGGAAATAATTTCAATTAACAGGTGTGACTTCTTAAAAGTTAATTTGCTGAATTTCTTTCCTTCTTAATGCGTTTGAGCCAATCAGTTGTGTTGTGACAAGGTGGGGGGGTATACAGAAGATGGCCCTATTTGGTAAAAGACCAAGTCCATATTATGGCAAGAACAGCTCAAATAAGCAAAGAGAAATGACAGTCCATCATTACTTTAAGACATGAAGGTCAGTCAATACGGAAAATGTGCAGTCTCAAAAACCATCAAGCGCTATGATGAAACTGGCTCTCATGAGGACCGCCACAGGAAAGGAAGACCCAGAGTTACTTCTGCTGCAGAGGATACATTCATTAGAGTTACCAGCCTCAGAAATTGCAGCCCAAATAAATGCTTCACAGAGTTCTAGTAACAGACACATCTCAACATCAACTGTTCAGAGGGGAATGTGTGAATCCGGCCTTCATGGTCGAATTGCTGCAAAGAAACCACTACTAAAGGACACCAATAAGAAGAAGAGACTTGCTTGGGCCAAGAAACACGAGCAATGATTTTTGGTTCCAACCGCCGTGTCTTTTTGAGACGCGGTGTGGGTGAACGGATGATCTCCGCATGTGTATTTCCCACTGTAAGCATGGAGGAGGAGGTGTTATGGTGTGGGGGTGCTTTGCTGGTGACACTGTCTGTGATTTATTTAGAATTCAAGGCACACTTAACCAGCATGGCTACCACAGCATTCTGCAGCGATACGCCATCCCATCTGGTTTGGGCTAAGTGGGACTACCATTTGTTTTTCAACAGGACAATGACCCAACAAACCTCCAGGCTGTGTAAGGGCTATTTTAACAAGAAGGAGAGTGATGGAGTACTGCATCAGATGACCTGGCCTCCACAATCCCCCGACCTCAACCCAATTGAGATGGTTTGGGATGAGTCGGTCCGCAGAGTGAAGGAAAAACAGCCAACAAGTGCTCAGCATATGTGGGAACTCCTTCAAGACTGTTGGAAAAGCATTCCAGGTGAAGCTGGTTGAGAGAATGCCAAGAGTGTGCAAAGCTGTCATCAAGGCAAAGGGTGGCTATTTGAAGAATCTCAAATATAAAATATATTTTGATTTGTTAAACACTTTTGTGGTTACTACATGATTCCATGTGTTATTTCATAGTGTTGACTTCTTCACTATTATTCTACAATGTAGAAAATAGTAAAAATAAAGAAAACCCCTGTATAGAGTAGGTGTGTCCAAACTTTTGATTGGTACTGTACATTAAGGTTTCTTTGGAGGAATGTATTGTAGCCTATTTCTCAATTCTCTATTAATTATGTGGATCTCTTTTGAATCAAGAGATGATTTAGAACCTAAATCATGACAAATCAAAATCCTCAAAAATATCCTGAGCTTTGGAGGTAAATAGAGAACTGAGATATACTGAGAATTACTTGGAAATATTAGCAATATATATAGGCTGTTCTATCACTCAAAGCTGTGGTATTCCTTTATACAGTAGGCCTAACACAGACACGAACATAATCTATAAGGTCAGTCATGCATGTGTAGACACATTGCATTCACTGTGTAATACATTAGATTTGACCCCCTCAGTTAAAGTTAATAATAGATTTAGGAGTTCTACGAAAATGTAGGGCCGTCTATTTGAGGCCTCCATCTGAGTGTTGCATTTTTCTCAGATCTTCCTGTGGAAGAGAGCCAAGTAACTGAGCCAGGGAGACTCCTACTGGATTAGCCTGAGGAACGGTAACCCAGGCAGGGCTGGCACTGGGTGGACAACTCCCCGGTGGAAAAAGGGTAACTTAGAATCTTAACTTAAAGTTACGGAAGATTTGCCTCTGAAGGTAGTCTTGAGCTAAAAAAGGTCCCATAAATGGATAGAAATCTTGTCCAGCAATTGAGTTTGGATCTCAATTCTATCATTTGGTGTGGAGTCCAGTATCGAGACTCAAGACTGCATTACTGTGATTACGTTACCTCAAATCACAGTATCATATGAGGATACTTACTGTATGAGGTCCCTAGTTAAGGTCATGAAGAAAGCATATTTATTGCCATACGTCCATTTCATATAAATACCTGATGCATTATTCTGCATTGATAGTTATTTGACGGAGTAACCAAATGTGCTTACAGTACATGGTCATTTGGTTTAAAAAAGTCAAACTGATGGAGACTGCTGCCTCTACAGGTTTTGGGATATTTCTTGGTATCACAAGCCAGAGAAGGGGGACACCAGGGAGCTGTGTGCCTGGCTGTCGCCAGGAGACAGCCACAGGGCTGGCTGGTACGCCACTATGTGCAAGAACAGCCTGAAGACCATCTGTGTGAGGACCCAGGGCACCCTGCAGTGACAGACACCATCTCAGAAGAGGAGAGAAAGGGAGAGGGTAGGCTAGCCACAGTCAGTGCAGTACGATTGCATTAAATATCCAATGTGTGTTTTGATGTATGGTATGAAAGGAAGTCTTGCAGGCCTAATTGGTAATTATGCAATGTACAGTACGAGTCAAAAGTTTGGACACACCTACTCATTCAAGGGTCTTTCTTCATTTGTACTATTTTCTACATTGTAGAATAATAGTGAAGACATCAAAACTATGAAATAACACATATGGAATCATGTAGTAACCAAAAAAAGTGTTAAACAAATCAAAATATATTTTATATTTGAGATTCTTCAAAGTAGCCACCCTTTGCCTTGATGACAGCTTTGCACACTCTTGCCATTCTCTCAACCAGCTTCATGAGGTAGTCACCTGGAATGCATTTCAATTAACAGGTGTGCCTTCTTAAAAGTTAATTTGTGGAATTTCTTTCCTTCTTTATACATTTGAGCCAATCAGTTGTGTTGTGACAAGGTAGGGGTGGTATACAGAAGATAGCCCTATTTGGTAAAAGACCAAGTCCATATTATGGCAAGAACAGCTCAAATAAGTAAGAGAACGACAGTCCATCATTACTTTAAGACATGAAGGTCAGTCAATCTGGAACATTTCAAGAACATTTCATTTCAATAACTTTTAGTTTCTTCAAGTGCAGTCGCAAAAACCATCAAGCACTATGATGAAATTGGATCTCATGAGGACCGCCACAGGAAAGGAAGACCCAGAGTTACCTCTGCTGCAGAGGATAAGTTCATTAGAGTTAACTGCACCTCAGATTGCAGCCCAAATAAATGCTTCACAGAGTTCAAGTAACAGACACATCTCAACATCAACTGTTCAGAGGGGACTGCGTGAATCAGGCCTTCATGGTCGAATTGCTGCAAAGAAACCACTACTAAAGGACACCAATATGAAGAAGAGACTTGCTTGGGCCAAGAAACATGAGCAATGGAGATTAGACCAGTGGAAATCTGTCCTTTGGTCTGATGAGTCCAAATTTGAGATTTTTGGTTCCAACCGCTGTGTCTTTGTGAGACACAGAGTAGGTGAACAGATGATCTCCACATGTGTGGTTCTCACCGTAAAGCATGGAGGAGGAGTTGTGATGGTGTGGGGGTGCTTTGCTGGTGACACTGTCTGTGTTTTATTTAGAATTCAAGGCACACTTAACCAGCATGGCTACCACAGAATTCTGCAGTGATACGCCATCCCATCTGGTTTGGGGTTAGTGGAACTATAATTTGTTTTTCAACAGGACAATGACCCAACAAACCTCCAGGCTGTGTAAGGGCTATTTTACCAAGAAGGAGAGTGATGGAGTGCTGCATCAGATGACCTGGCCTCCACAATCCCCCGACCTCAACCCAAATGAGATGGTTTGGGATGAGTCGGACCGCAGAGTGAAGGAAAAGCAGCCAACAAGTGCTCAGCATATGTGGGAACTCCTTCAAGACTGTTAGAAAAGCATTCCAGGTGAAGCTGGTTGAGAGAATGGTTTGATTTGTTTAACACTTTTTTGGTTACTACATTATTCCATATGTGTTATTTCATAGTGTTGATGTCTTCGCTATTATTCTACAATGTAGAAAATAGTAAAAATAAAGAAAAACCCTTGAATGAGTAAGTGTGTCCAAACTTTTGACTGGTACTGTATGTACAACTGAAAATAAAGTTGCTGTAAAATTGCTAGCCTACATCCATTTTTGGACTTTTAAATGAATGACATAAACCCATTGATTCTTGAGACCCTGACTTTTTCCACATTACAGTCTGAGATTCTTTGGTCACTGGCCTACACACAATACCCCATAATGTCAAAATATTTTTACTAATTCATTAAAAATGAAAAGCTGAAATGTCTTCAGTCAATAAGTATTCAACCCCTTTATTATAGCAAGCCTAAGCAAGTTCAGGAGTAAACATTTGCTTAACAAGTCACATAATAAGTTGCATGGACTCACTCTGTGTGCAATAATAGTGTTTAACATGATTTTTGAATGACTACCTAATCTCTGTACCCCACACACACACAAATATCTATAAGGTCCCTCAGTCGAGCAGTGAATTTCAAACACAGAGTCAACCACAAAGACCAGGGAGATTTTCCAACGCCTCGCGAAGAAGGGCACCTATTGGAAGTAGTGGTGCATGGGTTAAATCACTGGCGAAGCCAATCTAGAAAAAAAAAGCCATATTACAACCTGTGATGTGATAATTCAATTGTTTGCTCTATAACCTGTTAGTTTATATGCCTTGACACCATGATTTATAGGCCTACGGAGACAATAAGAAGACACAGTAGCAGAATAAATTCAACTACACATTTGTTTCATTACAAAAATAGGAGAGCAACATCTGTCCGGTGAAGTCCACAAAATATATTGCATGTAACAAACAGTTACATGAACCACAGCATGGTCAAGCAAGGTAATGTTTCCGAAATTTCCGGACCATTAAAGAACTATTAATTTAGAACAATGGAGAGTTACTGCAAGTCGCAAAGAAAACAGGAGATGCCTCCACTATTCCAGCACCATTTCAACATAATCTAATCACCTATGCTTAGTCTAATACAGTGACAAATAAAAGAAAACAAAAACGATTTAGTCCAATCAACGTAAACTAAATATAATGTGGCTGTCCATGGTACTGATTTGTGTGTATGCGCCCGTGCAAGTAGAAAAAACATGTTGACTCACCTTACTTGTAGAGAAGCGCCACTGTCATCCTCCTCTTTCATGTTGCCTAAACAGTCTATGACTCTGTCACACAGTTGTCCTACGCTACCTGGCTAAAATACTTGTTCGCTAGCCTAACTTCCTTTCATGGACAACGATACGCCAGGCCAGCTAGTTAACATTAGCATCCTACATCTAGCTACATGTTGAACTTCCATCCTCTCAGGCCAGGGGCACAATGTATGAATTTATGGTTGGTTCAGAATCATTTTTTATAACGGAGAATTAAGTAAAATTGAGAATTAAGTAAAACCACAAGTCCAAATCCCTAGCTCCACCCATGGCTAATTTAGGAAAGAGATGATTTTAGCTAGCTAGCTAGCCAGCCACCGAAGGACAACAACACAATGAGATGCAACAATTAACGTTTTTTTCTGTCAATAATGACGTTTGGCTTGTGATGTGATTGGTCTGAAGCCAAATCCAAACTGGCTTCTTTTAACACTTTTTTTTGGTGCGCCAGGACCAGTCACAGCTGAGCTCACTCAGTTTAGCTCAATGCTGATTGGCTATTATTTTATTATTTTTTTATCAAGGGAGGCCAAATGCTTGCTGGCTTCCCTTGCATTCAATGCTACGGGCCGCAACAATATCATACTCTTTCTGACCAGACAGCATCAGATAGATACGCTGCACATACTGAGACAGAGGGGCACTGTTTCGTTCTCCGGTGAGATACAGTATGACCATTGACACTAACAACCAACTGAACACCGTTTTCCCCCCCTCTTAATTTTCCCATGCATTAAGGAAGTTCCTGTACAGATATGAAATCCAACTTAATTGACCAACATTTGGGGATTCTGAAAGATTATAATTGATTATGTTTCTCACCATGAACCATCTGTGTTATCAATTCACTTAAAGTGATTCTAGCACTCTATAATGAATTGTAAGACTTGCTATAGGTGTATATCCTATACAAGCATTACTAACACCAACACTGGTGGTTCATAGAAAGTAGAGCCCAAACAATGTTTTTTTTTGGGTCCGATAACGATTCAGATTTTTTGTGGGACAAAACTTACCAATTCCGATATATTTGCCGATTTAGTGTTTTACAGTATGGAAATTAAAAAGTGACATTTTTCCACACCACACCAAGTTCTCTTAAATTGCCACCCAAAAAAGTAATTGTCCAAAAAATGCTTCAAATGTTGATTTCTTACATTGTGGCAATAATGACAATGAGAATGGGCGGTAGTGTTCAGACAAGCATGAGATTCACTTTTTTCATCCCATTTATTGAATATCGGTGGAATTATCGGCCGATATCGATATATCGGTAAAAGGCCAATATCGGCCAATAATATAGATGAAACTATATACTGTATATATCGGTCAGGCTCTCAAATTATTATTTATCTGCCCACTTGGAGAGATTAGGGGTAGCACAATATGACCGAAGTAAGCAACCCAGAATGGGCTTAAGTAGGTGTCTTTAAAACAAAACAAACTATGAATGCATTTGATCATCCATTTTAGGATAAGGCTGTAACGTAATAAAATGTGGAAAAAGTGAAGGGGTCTGAATACTTTCCGAATGTATACAAAGTGTACATTCAGCCTCGTGTTTTACTCCATTGTTTGTAAACAACGTAATTGTGAACAAACACTGAATAGCCTCATAACATGGTTAAAAGTTGAAAACTATCATTTTGATGTAATTTTAATTTATTTTTATTTCAACAGGGAGTCCCATTGAGACCAAGGTCTCTTTCACAATGGAGCCCTGCTTTTTGTAATTTCACACATTAAAAAAAATATTAAATACAAGGGAATACAAAAATATGAAATGACAGACACACTCAAGAAAAACAATCACATTCCTCAACAAAGAAGTCCTCGATCAACATTTTGAACTGCATGAAAGGCACGAATGTATCTAATTTAAGGGAACTCTGAAGATGAGTTTCCTTGCATCCCAAGTGTGGAACAAAGGCTGTTTTCCTATGTCTGTAGCAACATACAGAAATTCCAGAGTTAGCATCCCTATGATCGGGTATAGTAAAATGTACTTCTATGGGTAAGTAAAGATGTCAGGTAATGTGGGGGTTTCCTACACAACGTCAAAGAGGGCCAACTAACTTACCGAGTTGGTGAGTGCAAAACCGATCACGTGATAAATCAAAGTGCACTATGGAAAACTGCATCTAACGGCTTCAAAAAAGTGGCAGCTGCATTCATGTAAATGATGTCACCATAGTCTACGACAAGCAAGAAACTTTGACTGCATTCTACTGTTTAGTGATAGCCATGACCTATTTCTATAGAATGGCATTTTTATTCTCAGCTTCTTAAAGTAACTGTACAGTGTTTCCAAATGTCTAAATATGACTTATAATTAATTACAATATGAGTGAAATAGTTTTCCTTACAATAGTTTTTAATTGAGTATGTTAAAAAGCAGCTTTTCTGTGTTGGAATGGTGTGGGCGTACCCCAACAACAGAATGGTGTGGGCGTATACCGGTCATTAAAAATATTCATGCGAGTAGACCGCTGATTGGCTATTGACATCATCCTCTATGAGGAAATAGCAAGCATTTTTTTTTTATGTCTGTTTAAGATACAAGTTTGATGTGGGGTCAACCACATTATTTGGATATGAGTTAACAGAATATGTACTTTTAAAAGTGAGATTTTCACTGGACAGTTACTTTAACTAACTCATCAATATGCTTTTTAAAAAGACAGCTTATGGTCTATCCAGATGCCCAGGTATTTGTAAGCAAGAACACAATCAACATAAGCTTAAATCATTAGTCTTATTTTTTATGCGCTCCAGAAAACGTACAGTACCAGTCAAAAGTTTGGACACACCTACTTATTCAAGGGTTTTGCTTTATAAAAATTTTAAAAAGTACATTGTAGAATAATACTGAAGACATCAAAACTATAAAATAACACATATGAAATCATGTAGTAACCAAAATTAGATTCTTCAAATAGCCACCCTTTGCCTTGATGACAGCTTTGCACACTCTTGGCATTCTCTCAACCAGCTTCACCTGGAATGCTTTTCTAACAGTCTTGAAGGAGTTCACACACTTGTTGGCTGCTTTTCCTTCACTCGGCGGTCCGACTCATCCCAAACCATCTCAATTGGGTTGAGGTCGGGGGATTGTGGAGGCCAGGTCATCTGATGCAGCACTCCATCACTCTCCTTCTTGGTAAAATAGCCCTTACACAGCCTGGAGGTGTGCTGGGTCATTGTCCTGTTGAAAAACAAATGATAGTCCCACTAAGCCCAAACCAGATGGGGTGGCATATCGCTGCAGAATGCTGTGGTAGCCATGCTGGTTAAGTGTGCCTTGAATTCTAAATAAATTACGGACAGAGTCACCAGCAAAGCACCACCACAAAATAACACCTCCCCCTCCATGCTTTACGGTGGGAACTACACATGCGGAGATCATCCGTTCACCCACACCGCGTCTCACAAAGACACAGCGGTTTGAACAAAAAATCTCAAATTTGGACTCCAGACCAAAGGACAAAATTCCACCGGTCTAATGTCCATCGCTTGTGTTTCTTGGCCCAATCAGGTCTCTTCTTATTATTGGTGTCTTTTAGTAGTGGTTTCTTTGCAGCAATTTGACCATGAAGGCCTGATTCACACAGTCCCCTCTGAACAGTTGATGTTGAGATGTGTCTGTTACTTGAACTCTGTGAAGCATTTATTTGGGCTGCAATTTCTGAGGCTGGTAACACTAATGAACTTATCCTCTGCAGCAGAGGTAACTCTGGGTCTTCCATTCCTGTGGCGGTCCTCGTGAGAGCCAGTTTCATCATAGTGCTTGATGGTTTTTGCGAATGCACTTGAAGAAACTTTCAAAGTTCTTGAAATGTTCCTTATTGACTGACCTTCATGTCTTAAAGTAATGATGGACTGTCGTTTCTCTTTGCTTACTTTAGCTGTTCTTGCCATAATATGGACTTGGTCTTTTACCAAATACGTCTATCTTCTGAATTCCACAAATTAACTTTTAAGAAGGCACACCTGTTAATTTTAATGCATTCCAGGTGACAACCTCATGAAGCTGGTTGAGAGAATGCCAAGAGCGTGCAAAGCTGTCATTAGGGCAAAGGGTGGCTTTTTGGTTACTACATGATTCCATATGTGTTATTTCACAGTTTTGATGTCTTCACTATTATTCTACAATGTAAAAAATAGTAAAAATAAAGAAAAACCCTTGAATGAGTAGGTGTGTCCAAACGTTGGACTAGTAGTGTATACTTAGCTTTACATGCATCATGGATGGTCAGTCCTTGCATCCATAGCTCCAGTCCCATCCCTCATCGCTTTACCAAAAAAGTGCTGTGGTTTCGCTGTTATTATTTAAACTACAGATTGCCCATTTAACTTCTTAAACCAGAAAGACCAAATCCACTCAAACAATCCTAATACAAAGTAGCTATTGTCGTAAGCTTTTCAGATCCAAAATAGGCTTACAGTGAGGGAAAAAAGTATTTGATACCCTGCTGATTTTGTACGTTTGCCCACTGACAAAGACATGATCAGTCTATAATTTTAATGGTAGGTTTATTTAAACAGTGAGAGACAACAAAATCCAGAAAGACGCATGTCAAACATTTTATAAATTGATTTGCATTTTAATGAGGGAAATAAGTATTTGACCCCTCTCCAAAACATGACTTAGTACTTGGTGGCAAAACCCTTGTTGGCAATCACAGAGGTCAGACGTTTCTTGTAGTTGGCCACCAGGTTTTCACACATCTCAGGAGGTATTTTGTTCCACTCCTCTTTGCAGATCTTCTCCAAGTCATTAAGGTTTCGAGGCTGACGTTTGGCAACTCGAACCTTCAGCTCCCTCCACAGATTTTCTATGGGATTAAGGTCTGGAGACTGGCTAGGCCACTCCAGGACCTTAATGTGCTTCTTCTTGAGCCACTCCTTTGTTGCCTTGGCCGTGTGTTTTGGGTCATTGTCATGCTGGAATACCCATCCACGACCCATTTTCAATGCCCTGGCTGAGGGAAGGAGGTTTTCACCCAAGATTTGACGGTACATGGCCCCCTCCAACCGTTGCTTTGATGCAGTGAAGTTGTCTTGTCCCCTTAGCAGAAAAACACCCCCAAAGCATAATGTTTCCACCTCCATGTTTGACGGTGGGGATGGTGTTCTTGGGTTCATAGGCAGCATTCCTCATCCTCCAAACACGGCGAGTTGAGTTGATGCCAAAGAGCTCGATTTTGGTCTCCTCTGACCACAACACTTTCACCCAGTTCTCCTCTGAATCATTCAGATGTTCATTGGCAAACTTCAGACGGCCCTGTATATGTGCTTTCTTGAGCAGGGGGACCTTGCGGGCGCTGCACGATTTCAGTCCTTCACGGCGTAGTGTGTTAACAATTGTTTTCTTGGTGACTATGGTCCCAGCTGCCTTGAGATCATTGACAAGATCCTCCCGTGTAGTTCTGGGCTGATTCCTCACCGTTCTCATGATCATTGCAACTCCACGAGGTGAGATCTTGCATGGAGCTCCAGGCCGAGGGAGATTGACAGTTCTTTTGTGTTTCTTCCATTTGCAAATAATCGCACCAACTGTTGTCACCTTCTCACCAAGCTGCTTGGCGATGGTCTTGTAGCCCATTCCAGCCTTGTGTAGGTCTACAATCTTGTCCCTGACATCCTTGGAGAACTCTTTGGTCTTGGCCATGGTGGAGAGTTTGGAATCTGATTGATTGATTGCTTCTGTGGACAGGTGTCTTTTATACAGGTAACAAGCTGAGATTAGGAGCACTCCCTTTAAGAGTGTGCTCCTAATCTCAGCTCGTTACCTGTATAAGAGACACCTGGGAGCCAGAAATCTTTCTGATTGAGAGGGGGTCAAATACTTATTTCCCTAATTAAAATGCAAATCAATTTATAACATTTTTGACATGCTTTTTTCTGGATTTTTGTTGTTGTTATTCTGTCTCTCACTGTTCAAATAAACCTACCAATAAAATTATAGACTGATCATTTCTTTGTCAGTGGGCAAACGTACAAAATCAGCAGGGGATCAAATACTTTTTTCCCTCACTGTATATTCTTTCTCTGACTGAGGAAACAAAAGTTTCTGGCATTAGCTTGGTTTGAGATTCCCTAATAACATGCCATAGCTACGACCAGAAATTACTTTTTCGTAGCAGGTTAGGAGAACTTATGCAGCAGGTTAGGAGAATTAATGTAGCAGGTTAGGAGAATTAGGTTAAGGTTAGGAAAAGGGTTAGGGTTAGGGAAAATGCTCTCCTAACCTGCTAAGAAAAGTAACTTCCAGTCGTAGCTGTATCGAAGTGAGATTCCCTAAAAACACACCACTTCGATACCGATATGACCAGAAGTTACGCAGCAGGTCAGGAGAAGTAACATTTCAAGTTTTATTAGCATGGTTAGGATAATTAGGTTAGGGTTAGTGAAAATGCTCTCTAACCTGCTACGAAAAGTCACTTCCGGTCGTAGCTGTATCAAAGTGGCGTGTTTTTGGGGAGTCCCATATCAAAGTGGCGTGTTTTTAGGGGTCATCTCTAGCTACCACAGCCACAGTCATAAACCCCGCCCATTTCTACAAGTTATCTTTTTCAAATCTAATTTTAAACCTAACCCTAACCCAAAGGACATCCAGCCAACTTGGAACGCTTTTGACACCTAGTAGAGTCCATGCCCCGATGAATTGAGGCTGTCTTGAGGGCAAAAACAAAAAAGGGGGGGGGGGTGAAACTGAATATTAAGAAGTTATTCATAATGTTTGGTATACTCCGTGTATATTTAGTCTCCAATGTTTATTGAAAAATAAATACATTTGCACAGCCAGCACTTGTCTCTCAAATACATCTTTACAGTTCAGTGGAGGCTGTTGGGAGGAACTATAGGAGGACGGGCTCATTGTAATGTCTGTAATGGCATAAATGGAATGGTATCAGACATGTGGGAACCACATGTTTGACTCCGTACCAATAATTATATTCCAGATTTTACAATGAGCCCGTCCTCCTACAGTTCCTCCCACCAGCCTCCACTGTTACAGTTGTTGGTTATCTAGCTGGCGAATTTTTGCCATATTAGCATTGACATGAAATCAGTCAAAACAAGACATGGTATCAAGAACAAGAACGAGCCACTTACGATTGCCAACATTGCAGTTTCTTGTCATTGTTGTTAGCTATCTGGCCATCCAGAATCACGACAACACACGGACTTCTGCCCCATTGAAGCGTCCCATCGTTTTCGTGACTTTCTCAGCTAACCCATGTATGGGCCACCCCCTTAAGTAGACATTAACTGACCATTTTTTTCAATGGTAAATCTTCATTTATTGTCTTGTTTATTTTTTATTTATTTTTATTTATTTTTTTTACAGCAGGTGGCAGTAGTGCGCTGTCTTTGAATACTTGGAGAAGCCGTCGGCCCTGTCTTTTCTCCCATCATGCTTTGCTTTTTGACACTTCTTCAGAGGACACGGCAAGAGGTCAGCTTATCAGACTTTTAGCGCAGAGGTAGGCCTTCTTAGCTAATATTGTTGTTCAGTTAACTAGGATGCACGACATTTTGAATAATCGACGTTTTCTCTGTCATTAACAGTCATACATAGGTGAATAATAAGTGTATGTGGCTGTTTGGCTAAGAGACAGCTAACGACTAACGTTAGCTAGCTACAGATTGATAAAAGCACAACTGTGCTACTAGGCTAACAATATCTATGAGCTAGCTAACTAGTTTATTGAGAATGAGACAGCTAACTTTCTCGTCTTGCAGGCTAACTAATTTAGTCAAATTACTTAACTTTCCATTTACCTCTAGTTAGAGATGTCTAGTTAGCCTAGCTAGTTTAGCTAACTATACACAATAGTTATCTGCCAAGTAGCTTGCTAGTAGTTTGACACTCACTCGATGCATTACAATGCACTAGTACCCGGCGCCAGCTAGCTACGTTAGACGTAGACAAGCTATAACTAACTTAGTTGTATCCCTCCTTAGTGAATAGTTTTGGGCAGGGGATGAACGAGGGGTGAATTCACTGAGGTTTGCAAGTGTTTTGATTGATTGTCGTGGTTTATTTGTATTGTTGAGATGTGTCTATCTGCATTACTGTAGTACATTTCTTGCTGTTTTATTGATTCATTGAATTATCATGTGAGTTGTTTGTTCTCAGAGCACCATTGTGAATGAGACCCTGGTCTAAATTGGGCGTCCCTGATTAACAACAAGTGAACATTTTTTTTATGTCTTGTGGAAATTGGAATGAGTGCAGTTATTCCAGGCCAAGGGTAGGAGCTAGGTCATGTCATGTCTGATTAATCAGGCTGTGATACACAATGAATTGGTGTATATACATGTAAATGATCCTTACAAGCCAGGATGCTGAATAAAATTACATTTGGAACTTTACTGGTTGTCTGCGGTTTGTCCTGAAGATTCTCTAAATTTGAGTATGTTCAAATGTAACTTCATTCTAGCTTGTAAGGAACATTTACCCTATTTTGTACACAAATGTCTCAGTATATAATTGACCAATTGTGTATTACAGCCTGATTAATCACACTTCGTCATGTCAAGTGCGTCCATGTTTAAGGAAGTAGAATTGTGGACTACAAGCTGCTAGCCTGATTCTAATTGCATGCGTTCCGATGTCATTTTAGGCAAGGTTGATAGTGATTGTGGAAATTGATTGAGATTTGAGTTATTCAATGTTTTGATTTGTATGATTGTTTTGCAGATTGAAATCAGTCAAAATGTCTGACGTAATTGAAGAGAAGATCAAGAACTACAGAACGGCTCCTTTTGATGCCCGATTCCCCAACACCAACCAGACCCGAAACTGCTTCCAGAATTATCTGGGTAATAACCACCACATTCTCTACCTTTGATTGCTATTCAGAGCCATACACAGATATGTTTTGGCTAATATGGTTCTGGTGCTGTTGTCCTTTCAAACAATAGATCTTATTCACACTGGTTAATCAAATACTTTTATACATCTCACAGGCATGTCATACATTCACAGGCGAAGTTATTTTCTATGCTAAACTTATGTACGCTTAAATAAGGGTTTTTGAAGAATGAATCAACTTCGGCTAGGGTTGGCAGTCAAAAAACATGTGACAAGAGGTACTCTGTGGTCGATTTGAACACGCTGTGAATAAGGTCCATAAACTCGATGATCATCAAAACACCACGACATGGCTATCATTACATTCAGTCAATATGTCTTGTAGTTACAATGATAATAGTCCCCATGTTCTTTTGTCAGACCCACTGTGGGTGGTTGCCATGTCACTTGCTGAATTCAACTTGGGCTTTAACCAAAGCAGGTACATCTATAGGCAGGTTCATGCCCATCGGTGACAGTTGACTTGTTGACATTTTCACTTGCTCCAAAGGCTTTTGCTGTGTTGATACTGGTACTTATGTGAATGCTTAGCTAACTAACCCAAATGCTGAATGGGCACCTGCTGTTTTTTCTCCTATTTGTGATTCATGTTTTGTTTTTATTTGGGCCATTTGTTAATTCACAAATTAATTTACAGTTATTGTGTAATCTAGTACAATGTGAACACCTTAATTGTCAACTGAAATGTACAACTGCCACTGACCATAATGAGAACTCATCTAGTCATATTGCTGTTGACTACTGTTGTTGCCCTACTAATTCGAATACTTGAACTGTCCTTGAGTATTTGGTGTAGAATACTGGCACCTAATGGGCTAAATTAATGAAAATATTATCTTGGTCAGTTCATATGCATTTACATTATTCAGCACATATCTACCTTCCTCCGTCCAGACTTCCACAGATGTAACAAGGCTCTTACAGACAAAGGCCAGGACGTGGCACCCTGTGACTGGTACCAGAGAGTCTACAAGAGCCTGTGTCCCTTGAGCTGGGTATGTGTCACTCGTTGACTGGTTCTCTCTGCACCATACTGCCCTACAGTTAGCATTGAACACTCTCTAATGTATATGTACCCCTGAAGAGACCTCTATTTAAATCAGCGGTGCCAGCTATCAGGTATAAGAAACTTGCTCGTTAATACAAGGTTAAAGGTGATGTGGCTGGTTATTAATTTCAAGACAAACTCCCCCTCTTCCTTTCTCAGCTGTCATCTTTTATCTGTCATTGTGCTGTCTGCCACAGGATATTTACTGAGTTTCTCTCTCTCTCCAAGGTGGCAAAATGGGACGATCAGATTGAAGCTGGAAGTTTCCCCGGGAAAATCTAAATGGACACATTCCATGACTTCTTCCACTGATCTCGCGTCCTTTCCGCCGACTTCCCTAATGCACATCTTAATGTCTCTGTCAAGCATTTGGATGTTTCTGTAAAAATGACTAATAAATATTTTAATGTTATGATGATGTTTGGTCATGTTTACTTTGGTGGTTTAGTGTTGGACAGTCCCATAAATTAATCCACAAGACAGGATAGGTCGGTATATTGAAAAGGTACAATAGAATTTAGTAAAATAACAGGACAACAACACTAAGCACACAGCCAAGACAACGCAGGAGTGGCTTCGGGACAAGTCTCTGAATGTCCTTGAGTGGCCAAGCCAGAGCCTGGATCGAACATCTCTGGAGAGACCTGAAAATAGCTGTGCAGCGACGCTCCCCATCCAACCTGACAGGGCTTGAGAGGATCTGCAGAGAAGAATGGGAGATACTCACCAAATACAGGTGTGCCAAGCTTGTAGCGTCATACCCAAGAAGACTCGAGGCTGTAATCGCTGCCAAAGGTGCTTCAATAAAGTACTGAGTAAAGGGTCTGAATACTTTTTTATTTCGTATAAATTTGTAAACAATTCTAAAAACATGTTTTTATGGGGTATTGTGTGTAGATTGAGGGGGGAAAACAATGTAATCAATTTTAGAATAAGGCTATAACGTAACAAAATGTGGAAAAAGTTACTTTCTGAATGCACTGAAAAAATATATAAACGCAACATGCAACAATTTCAAAGATTTTACTGAGTTACAGTTCATATAAGAAAATCACTCAATGGAAATGAATTAGGCCCTAATCTATGGATTTCACATGATTGGGCAGGGGTGCACCCACTGGGGATCCAGGCCCAGCCAATCAGAATGAGTTTTTCCCCATAAAATGGCTTTATTACAGACGGAAATACTCCCCCCCCCCCCCCCCCCCCCCCCACACCATTAAAATGTAAACGTTTCCCTATATGATGCAACTGACCATGAGGGTTGCAGGAAAGACTCCTGAATGCTGGTTACATAAAACTGAATGAGGTGAAAGCGATGATTTGCAATGAGGAATGGATTAATTATACAAGGAAAGTGCTAATTGTCTAAACACAGGCACAACCTTTATTAAATGATCAGGATGATGAGAGGGCACAACCTTGTGCAAAGCCATCACATTCAGCTAACATTGATGCTGCAACATAAACTGTTTGTGCCATGTTATTTTGGGCCTGTTATTGTCCAAAGTCTTGTAGGGCTTCTTTTATATTAAGAATAATGGGGCACTATGTAAGTGAGCATGTTAATTTTGATCTCAAAATAATAGAAAACGAATGCTTTATTAGGCCTATGGTCTGAATAATTACCAAGAGCTTTGCTCTGTATTTGAGAACATAACCTACAAGTTAACAATGTAACAATTTATGAACAATAATTGTTTAATTCTGCTTGTTCATGTTGACTGAATTACCCTGAGTCATGGGCTACTGTTATTATTCTTACGCTGGGTCACGATATTTCTGACAGCCATGTGAAGTGATACCCAGTCCCACTGCTTGAGAACAATATACGGGAGGCAATTTATGCAGCATACACCTAATTGTCGAACAGGCTACACATATGCTACAGCTTCATCCATTTAAACAAATATTAGATGGAGGAATAGGAAGAACGAAAGAGCATACAAATGGATGGATCAGTCTCGCGGACCGTGCCAGGCGTGTGATACATTGCTTTGGTAACCGGGCTGCGTTGCATCAGCAGCATCCATCATCAGCTGATCACTCTCAAGGTCGCCTTCGCAGAGCATCATGGGGAGGACACTGGAACCACTGGTTATATCCCGGGACCGCTACAACAACGTTGGTTCACCATCACCACCCACGCCAAAAGGAGTTTACGTAGAGAGCATTTCGTTTTTCATAGGTTGATGGGAACTGGACTGTCTCCTCAAAGGGAAACGTGCCGATTGTCGCGCATCCACTCCACAAGCCTGAGCTATATGAAACGAATAACGAAGACATTTGCAAGGGGCTTAGTTTTTATAGTAGCCTACCGCATTGGTGCCAGTGGAATCGTGGAGGGCGGGAGAGGAATAGCACGACTGGTCACGACAGGTGAATTGCGGTAAATTGCTTGATTTATACTATTATATGACATATGTAGGGCATTGCTGACAAACCGTCCGTATAACATCAGTTCCTTATGTGCAGGCTGTAGCTCTGAAGACTGGGCAGGTTCAGCGCGCTATTCCATCTGAAGATCTTTTCTCTTGTCCTCCTGTCCTGTTTGTCATCTTCTCATCAAGAGCTGCTATTTGTTAGTGAATATCTATCTATTCACTGAAGATGGTGGAGGAGGAGGTAAGTTCTGCTCCCTAATTTAATCATGTGGACAGAGTAGTGATCTATGCTGCTGTTATTATATGCTGACCATGCACTACTCAGGCAAACTATACTTTGACCATACAATGTGTGGCCCCTCAAAAGGTCCCTAAACCTTTGCATGCCTACAATCCACTAAATGATTTCCAATTCTGTTGCATGCAGTCAGAATGTCATATGACTGTTCAAAACCTACTTCATGGTGGTGGGCATTGTACTGTATGATGCTGTATATCAGTGAGTCATTCTCATGTTCTATGCTGAGCTTCCATGAGCGATCCATTTTGTTGTGTTACAGCCTGAATTTAAAATGGATCAAATTAAGATTTTGTGTCACTGGCCTACACAAAACACCCCATCATTTACAAATTAATAAAAAATGAAAAGCTGAAATGTCTTGTGAATAAGTATTCAACCCCTTTGTTATGGCAAGCCTAAATAAGTTAAATGTGCTTAACAAGTCACATAATAAGTTGCATGGACTCACTCTGTGTGCAATAATAGTGTTTAGCATGACTTTTGAATGACTACCTCATCTTTGTAGCCCACACATACAATTATCCGCAAGGTCCCTCAGTCGAGCAGTGAATTTCAAACACAGATTAAACCACAAAGACCAGGGAGGTTTTCCAGTGCCTCGCAAAGAAGGACACCTATTGGTTGATGGGTAAAAATAAAAAGCAGACATTGAATATCCCAGAATAAGTATTCCAAAACATGCATCCTGTTTGCAATAAGGCACTAGTAAAACTGCAAAAATATGGCAAAGAAATTAACTTTATGTCCTGAATACAAAGCATTATGTTTGGGGCAAATCCAACACAACACATCACTGAGTACCACTCTTCATATTTTCAAGCATGGTGGTGGCTGCATCATGTTATGGGTATGCTTGTAATCAGCAAGGACTAAGGAGTTTTTTTTGTTGCATAAAAATAAACTGAATAGAGCTAAGCACAGGCAAAATCCTAGAGGAAAACCTGGTTCAGTCTGCTGTCCAACAGACACTGGGAGACAAATTCACCTTTGAGCAGGACAATAACATAAAACATAAGGCCAAATATACACTGGAGTTGCTTACCAAGACGACATTGAATGTTACTGAGTGGCCTAGTTACAGTTTGACTTAAATCGGCTTGAAAATCTACGGCAAGACTTGAAAATGGCTGTGTAGCAATGATCAACAACCAACTTGACAGAGCTTGAACAATTGGTAACTATTGTACAATCCAGGTGTGCAAAGCTCTTAGAGACTTACCCAGAAAGACTCCGAGCTGTAACGGCTGCCAAAGGTGATTCTAAAATGTATTGTCTCAGGGGTGTGAATACTTATGTAAATTAGATATTTCTGTATTTCATTTTCAATAAATTTGCAAAAAGTTATAAAAACATGTTTTCGCTTTGTCATTATGGGGTATTGTGTGTAGATGGTTGAAGAAAAACAACTATTTAATCAATTTTGAATTCAGGCTGTAACACAACAAAATGTGGAATAAGTCAAGGGGTATGAATACCTTCTGAAGGCACTGTAGAATTGGACAGTTAGATCATTGTTCTATGAATAATAGGATCCATTATTAGCTTTTAGGTAATGTCATTTATCGTTCCATAGGCTATGGCATACACTTCTGATCATTAATCTCTGCTATTGACATAATGAAATAACCCAAGGCCATTTGGATCTCAATCTATGTTGTGGTATTGAATATATAGCCAAAGCTAATCAACTCATCAATACAATTTGGCCTCAGCATCCTTCAGTACAAGAATGGGTTTGATTGGTTCTCGTAGGTTAATGAGATAAGAGTGAACGGTTCAGTGAATGGCTCAGAAAGAATTAGGCCAGAATCGCTGTTGTACAGAGAGAGAGTCTTTTCCCTCCCACAATGCATTGGTGCAAGGAGCAGCAATGCCATGTTTTTATCGCTGTGTGTTTTGGTCTATTTTAGCGAGTGTCAATTTAACGGTCACCATCAGGCAGTTGTTATGACGAGGAAGAGACAGAAATACTCTTGGAACGAGGGGGCTATGGAAGAAATTGTGTGTGCATCATTAGAAACAGGGAGGGAGAAAAGAGAGAGAAAGAGATGCAGTCTGGGAGGGGGTTATGAAAGAAGTAGTGTGTTACATCATTAGAAAGAGTGGGAGTGGAACAAAAAAAGAGGGAAAGAGAGATGGAGCCCTGAGACAGAATCGGAGTGTACATTTAACTAAGGTCAGATTAATAAGTTCCACTTCTGTGACTCTGAAAGGTACTACTACCATGTATCATGATTATTTTTATCTGAATGTTGCTTACTTTGCAAACAACCCCATTACTAGGCTACTAGCACAGAGTTACATTGTACGCGTAACCGAGGTATGACGGTGTGTAATCGTGAAATGTACAGCATTTGGCCGGGCTGAAAAGGAAGACCTATTTTAACACAGTCCTATTTTAAAACTCTCAACTCTTATCCCATTTCATGATTTGGGTGTTCTTTTAAAATGACTCTTTCAATATTGATAAAATTATTGTATAAATCATGAGAATTTTACCAATTTTGAATGCATCTCAAGGCTGCTTAATTCTACTGAGTCATTGTGACTTTACAGGCAGCGAGGGGGTAGAGTGACGAGAGAGGGGGAGCGGTGGAAGGTGAACCTCAGGATAGAGGTGGGGAGGGAAGAGAGAGAGAGGGATGGAGGGCGGGAGAGGGTATGGCAGAGGCCATAGTGTATTGCTCATGTTTGTTTACAGTGTGTTAAAATACCACAGACTGTCAC